CCAGGGGATGGGACCCCGGCTGCAGGCTCTTGCCCCCCTCCCCGGCTCTCCGTAGGCTAGGTGCCAGTTCTGGCATGCACCGAGCGCGCGCGGTCTCTGCGCCAGCGCAGGTCTCAGCTCGTGGCCTCCTCCCCCGTATTTGGGAAATTATTTTTATTGAGTGGCAGAGGCCATAAATTTTCAGCCTGCAAAAGTGGCCGGGAACCGGGGGGGGGGGAGCGGGGCTGCGCCTGGGCAGGGACGCAGCTGGCTCGCGCCCCGACGGAACGGGGAGCGCGTCCTCGCTGCCAGCGCGGGGAGCAGAGCAGATCCGCTGCAGGGACAAGTCGAGTCAGCACTGGGGGAGTTTCAGCTTCTCTCATTCCCGGAGTTTGTTTAAGCAAAGAGGTTTGTGCGTTTCGGTGTCCGTGGGGCGCTTTGGGAGGAGGGGGGGGTGCGATACCCCCGGCTTTAGGGTGGTTTGGGGCATCCAGCACTCGCTGGGTCTGTGTCCCCCAGCTGTGACCCCGCTGCCGGCGTGTTCTCACTGCGGGAGAGACGCAGGGAACAAGACTGACCAGTTCCTGCGGAGGAAACAGGCTGTTCCCTTACGGCACAGGGAGTTTTCCTTGGCAGAAACAAAGCTTTGCCTACGGTGACTTTGCGGAGCTCTGCCAGGCTGGCTCAGCGCCCACCACGGCACTTCTCACTGGCACAGGGGTGCTTTGCTGGGATACACTCATTGGTGCCTGGTCTCCCTGGGAAGTACCGGTACCCGGAGCTGCTGCAGTGACTGCGGTGCAAGCGACGTGTCCGTGTCGGACCCCACGATCCGGCTGTGCGGTGGGTGACACGAGCCTGGGGGCTTGCGGGGATCTGGATGTGCTGGTGGGTGCGTTGTGCAGGGGGGGATGAGACAAGCACGGATCTCCGTGGCAGGCTGCAGCGTGGAAAAGTGCCAGCACCGGGAAATGGCACTTTGCCCCGTCCCTCCAGCGGCGATGACTCCCCCGCGTCGGGGCTGCAGCCTCCCCAGGGCAGGAGGAGATATGGTGCGAGGGGGTAGCAATGCACTGTCCCACTTCCCGCAGGTTGGGAAGGACATGTCCCCTGACACAGGTGGGAAACGGAGACACAGGATGTGTTTAAGCCACCTCTGCCACAGAGCAAGCCCGAGCCCTGCTGCTACCAGGGCAGGATGCTGCCCACGCGCTGCCAGAGCATCTCTTGTCCTCGTGAACCGAATAGTACGTCCCGTCCCTCCCTGCCCAGCCCCTCGGGGCACCGACTCACCAGCAGCCCCAGGGCTTGGAGCTGCACAAACCAACTTGGTTTTGCTCATCTCCCGGTGCTGGCACCAGTGTTACCCCTGGGTACTCAGGCACAGCAGGTCCCACCACCCCCAGTTCTTGCAGTGCCCACATGCTGGGAGGTCAGTGGGGTTTATCCCCTTCTTAGAGAGCTGAGACCTCGCAGGGGTTGATGCAGGTGGAGGAAGCAGCAAAGCTGGGCAGTTCCCTGGTTGTGATGGGCCAGAAATGCTGGATTCAAGGGCAGATCATGGATGAAAGCTGCTCACACATATACGTGCATCTATAGGTGCATCGTTCAGATCTAGCCCAGCATTTCTTTTCAGTAAAAATAAGCCTTTTCCAAAGTTTCAGGACACCATGTGTTTCCTGTGGCATGTCCATGCGAGGCTCCAGCCAACTCTTTCTTCATTGATGATAGTCCCAGGCTGGTGTCTCCAGTGGGAAGATGTGGATTTGTTGTACGCCAGCTGTCCGTGGGGAATACAGATGTGCTGGAGGACACTTGCTTGCAAGAAAGTCCATAGTCAACTTTGTGCTACCTTGTCCATCTGGTTGAACTTCCTGGTTAAAGTCACCTGCAGGACCCGAAAGATGCTGAAGCTCATGATGATGATGAAGCTCATGACATCGTAGTAAGGCTCTCGAGCAGCCAAAAAGCCCCTTATTGTTTCAGAGCCCTCGTTTGCTCTCAAACATGACCCAGCAGCGGCAAACCAGGAGCAGGATCCCCCAGGCTGTGCCTTAGCTGTGGTGGGACGTGCAGCTGGGCTGATTTTCATGTGCGGATGGAGCCGAGAGGAGCTGGGGCTCTTGGCGTGTATTTTGGCTGTTCTTTCCTGGACTTGTTCCGCGGGAGCAATGACTGGGTTGTGGAGCGGGTGTGGGGCCGAGTTTGAGGCTCATTTTGTTTTTGAAGCTCTTCTGGGCTCTTTGCTGAGAACCCAGCAACCTCAGAGGCGATGCAGATGCCTGGGCAGCCTGGGCACCCACAGCAGCTGCCAGCACCTTAAAATACCGTTTGTGGCCTTCATTCAAGGGCAGGGCTTTATCGTGAGCTGGTCAGCGAGTGGTTAAACCCTTTCTGGCCCTTCTGCCCTGCAGCCCTGGCCAAGTTTCTGCTGAGCTTGCAACTCTCGGGAAAGCCTCCCTGTCCCTCCTGGGCACCTGGCATGGCCTGAAGCAGCACCAGAGGCCACTGGCACCCCAGCACAGTCCAGTTTTCTTTCTGGTGATGACTGGAGAAATACATCATCCCGGATGGGGCTGTCTCTCCCCTGTGCCTGCTGGTGTGCTGGCGCTGGGTTTCTGGGGCAGGATGGATCTGCCCAGAGTGCAGTGCAATTTCATTTATATTTGTTTCCTAGAGCTGGAACTCCCTAGTATTGGCTCTGTCTTGCTCCTAAGCAGCGTGTTGCTGCAAATACAGCTCCTGCAAAGGGATCAGTGGGCTCCCCAAGTCACTTAGTGGGAGCAATTCTGATTGGGATGGATACTTATAAGGATGCCCATCTGATAGAGGAGTTTCTGCAATTTCTGTATAGTCTGGATGTGACAGGAGACCTCTGGGACTCTTACATGCCCAGGAGTGCCCAGCTCCCAGGGTACCTGCACAAAGTCTTTTGCATAAGACTTTTTTCAGTGTCACATCCACGCAGCGGTTGTTACCTGGGCAGGCAGAATTTTTTTCCCCACCAATTCCCTTCCATCAAGTGCAGAAGCGAGAAAACATTCCTGAAAAGCTCTGACAGCTCCGTTTGCAGCTCTGCCTCCTTCTGAACCCTGTGCATGGGAGAGAAGCAAGTTACACCTTCGTGAGGGAGGCACATGCTGCCACACACAGCTGCGTGAGGGTCCATCGCGTGGGGCCGTGCCGTGCCAGGGATGTGTGTGTGCCGGAGCACCGCGGTCCATCGCCGGCTGGTGCTCCCCGGGCTCTCCAGCGAGCGGAGCTGCCTGGAGACACCGGATTTGATTCAGAGGGCCTTTGTCATCTAGCTTGGACACCAAAACTGATTAATCTAGTTACAGTCCAGAGTCCTGCGTCCGCATCCCATGATGGTTTTCGTTGCATTCAGCATCCCCTTTCCCTTCCCAGTTTAACCAAGTCGGTGAAGGTTTCTCACTGGGATGCTCCTGCTCGGAGACGTCAGGCAGACCTGTGAGGAGAGAGGATGCTGCTGCTCTGGAGCTGACCTGGAAAACCACCAGTGTGTTTGCCAGCTGCTGGCTCACGCCGGCCCGGTTTTGCCCGTCAGGCTGCGAGATGTCACATCCCAAATGCGGCACGTGGAGCTTGGGCTCAAATTGTCCCTTTTCTGGCCTAAAGGATGAAAAACCCACTCAAACGGTGGGGAAAGCACAGGGGCACGGCACAGGTTTGCTTATTCCCATGGCTAATGGAGAGCAGCCCGGTGCGCCCGTGTCCTGTCCCTCCCCGCTGCTGATGGGCATCCTGGGGCCATCGGAGGTGGTGGCCTGTGGTCTGCTCGCCCAAGGTCCATGGTGGTGGTTCCTCGGGGTCCTCTCCTCACTCTTGTCCTCCCCCTGTCTTTCAGATGTCCTGCGGTAGCCCAGCACCCTGCAGAAGGACCTGCCTGCCTTAGCCAGCCCGTCGTCCCAGGCATCCGCTGGTGATGGCCTCGATGCCCCAGTGAGGGGCGAAAGGACACGGACTAAGTCCCCCCAACACCACCACGACCCCCGGGAGAGCCATGGAGGCCCCCCTGGACGTGCCCGTAGGGAACCTGATTGACTTTGATGCTGAAACCCCCACTTGCATCCCCTCGGAGCCCTCTCCTCCCACCGTCCCCAGTGGCAACGGGCACCTGGGGGACGCAGGGGATGATGCCGGAGAGGAGAGCGATGCCACCGAGTCGGCGGACAGCGAGAATGACATGGGCGACTCTCCGAGGCGCTGGGGCGGCTACCACCGCTCCTCCTCCAACGAGTCCTTCTCCTCCAGCCAGAGCACCGAGTCGGCCCGGGACGAGGCGATGGCTGAGCGCCGGGAGTTCATGCGGCACTACGTGGAGAAGATCTTCACCGGCGGGTGAGCGAGCGGAGTCGGAGAGCCTGCTGCTGGGAGGACATCCTGCAAGATGGGATCTGGCTGCTTTCCCACTGCAGGAACATCAGTTTGTGCCCTTCCCCGTGCTTGGCTAACACAACGTGTTGCTCCTGGCCATAACACGGCGTTGGAGCTAAGGGGAAGGATGCAGGCTCTGGCTTTCACCCCTCTTTTGGGATGTCCCAGCTCATTCCACCCCCAGCTTCCCTCCCCTCTTCTTCCTCCCCTGTCTCGCACCAGAGGCTCACCGTGCTGGGGATCTCCAGCTCCTCTCCCCCTCCTTGGGCATCTCTGCAGCCCCCAGCCCTGCACCCCCCCAGCTCCCATCGCTGTGGTCTCCGTAACGCTGCGGCTCAGAGCGTCAAGCAGGATCGAGCAAGCGGAGCATGACGAGCAGCAGCGGGGGCTGTTTTGGCTCTGGGGCAGAGCGCCTGTCTCGGGAGCTCAGTTTCTGCTCCGGCTGTCCTTGGCTCTTCCCTTCTCCCTCTGCCTTTGGTTTCCCCCTGCCAGGGAGGAACAAAAGAGCAGCGTGAGCTGGAGGACGACAAAATGGATGCTGTCCTTCCTCTCTTCTTCCTCTGCTTCCTCCCAGCGTCGGAGCACCAGGATGCTGCCACCGAGATGGATGACATGGGGGATGCTGAGCCGTGTCCTCGGCTTTAATGGTGTTTTTTTTTAATTTTTCCCCACGGCAGAGAGGACCTGGACCAAGAAGAGAAGGCCAGGTTTGGCGAGCTCTGCAGCGGCGAGAACGGGAAGGGCAGGGAGTGGTTCGCGAGATACGTGAGCGCCCAGGTAAGGGGAGAGATGGGTGAAGGAGTGGTGATCCTGTACCGGGGCTTTGGAGGCTCAGGCCAGGGGAATTGGGCCCGATGGAATATTTCTGGAGGGCAGGAACTCAGGGAAAGGGAAGAACTTCAGTCTGGGGGGATATTGAAGTGAATAAACGCATCTCGAGGCCGTTAAATACGTGCTTGTCGCAGCATGGGGGTGAAGTCATCTGTTTTATTTCAAATGAAATCCCCATCAGCGCTCAGAAAACATCCTATTCCCTGGAAAAACATCTCGGCGAGGCAAACCGCTCTCTCGGAGAGGGATGCCTGACCGTCCACGCTCCCTGCCCACCCCTCTGCACCCGGGGGTCCTGGGGTGCTGGGGGTGCTGAGGTTGCCCGTGCTGGAGGGCTGGGCTAAACCCTGAGCTTTGTGCCTGCAGCGCTGCAACTCCAAGTGTGTCTCGGAGCAGACCTTCTACCGCCTGATGCAGTCCTTCGCCCTTGTGCTCTTTGAGTAAGTCGGGGAGTCAGGGGGGTTCGGGGCTTCGTTGGAACCGCTGAAAGCTCCTGAGATCAGAGCCACGGCTCAAAGGAGGGCAGCAACCACGAGGCTGCTTTGGTTGCCGTCGCTGGGTATCTTCACTGAGTCCTCTCTCCGTTTCAGGTGTCACCAGATGGATGACTTCAGCCCTGCCAAGAACCTCATGACCATGTGTTTCACCTACTACTACGTGGGTAAGAGGTGCCTGCACCCTCAGGCTTTGCTTGTGCTGGAGACCGGCAGTGAAGTGTGCCCTGGGCATGAGAAAGGTGATGGGTGGGTACTCAAGCTTGGCTTGCTCTGGCTGACCCTGATATGGAGCAAAAGAGCCTCCATGGCCCAGAAGCTGTGCAAATCTGCTGGAGACCTTCTCTGGGGTGGTAGTTCACGCTGATACTGGTTTGCCTTTGCTTCTAGCCAGGGATATTTCTGTATGGTGATCCCCAGATGTTCTCCAACCCTGGAGATTTGATGTGAAGCCCTCAGCCCAGAAGCACCTTGGTTCATTGCTTGGTGTGTGGTGGTCATTCCTCCATGCGGGGCTGGATTTTCTATCCAAAATGGGAGGGAGGACAAAGACCTACAGGAATCGGGATGGAATGGGGTCAGGGATGTTTCCACCTGGCTCCTACTCTCCAGGGAGCAGGTTCCCCAGGAGCTGGCAGCACCCAAGACCATGGGGCCAGCTGAGCTCCTGCCACGTTTCCCACAGGCAAGACCCACGCGCTGCCCTTGGAGGCCAAGGAGAAGCCCATGGGCAGCATTGACTCGTACCTGAAGTCAGCCAACACCTGGCTGGCGGAGAAGAAGGACATCGCGGAGCGGCTGCTGAAAAACACCTCGGCCAAGACGGAGAATGTCAAGGGCTTCTTCGGGGGCCTGGAGACCAAACTGAAGGGTCCTACCACCAAAAAGAGCGAGTGGGTACCACTCCGTTGGGCGGGCAGGGGGGGCTGAGGCAGGTGCCCATAACGTGATCAAGCCAGAAACCTCCTGGGTGCAGGGCCACCATGAGCCAGGGGTTATCATGGCCATGAGAAGATGATCTCTAGCCTCATCCCGTGCTTCATACTTTGGTCATTGGGCACCTCATGGTCTGGCAGTCCCATTCCCTTCGGCATGGAGATATGTGGTTCCAAGAGACCGTGCTTTGTGGTGCGTGTTGCTTTGTGGTCTCCTGCATCATCTCTGTCCTGGATCTGACTGGGATGGACATCAGGGTCTCTTATCCAGCTTTCTGGCCCCGGGGACAGTGGCATGGGAGCGGGGTCTTTCAGATGAAGGTGCTCCCCTCACCAGGGGGCCAAGGCTTTGTCATGTGGCTGCTGGGGGGACAGGCTCTTCGGGAGCTGATGCTCATTTCTATGCCACAGCGAAGGCGAGGACAAACCGAAGGAGAAGCTGAAGAAGACGGGTGAGTGGAGCTAGTGTTGCTGAAGTAGGCATGGTCAAAGCATCTCTGGGGAAAGAGCGAGGGTTGGAAATGGTACGAGATGCCCGGCGTTGCTAGAGGTGTGGGGTGGGAAGAAGGGCAAGAAGGACCGATGCTGTCTCCTCTGAGCTCCTAGAGAAATACCCTAAAGGAGCCTTCACAGCTCCTTGCTTTGAAGCAATCACAGCTCCTGTCCCTCAAGGACATCTTGTGGCATCTTGTCCTCAGTGGCACCAAGTTGCAGAGGTTTGGGCATCCACTGCCTCTGAGTTTTCATGCTATTCCAGCTGTGCCCCTGGTAGCGGTGTGCACTGCCCAACCAGAGGTGCAGTCCCTCGAGCACCCTCCTGGGATGTCCATGCCTTGGTCAGAGCTCATATCTGCCCACAAAGAGCAGCCAAAGCTCCTCTTTGGTTTGCAGACTGTTTCATCACAACTGCCTGGACACCAAGCTGGCAGGGCAGCACAAATTCTGTGGATGGGTGAGAGGGTGGGAGTCATCCAGACCTCGGCAGGTAACTGTGTGTCCCCACAGTTTCTGTGCAGAGCCCAGAGGAGGAGAAGAAAGGCGAGAAGATCTACCTGTACATGCACCTCAAGCAGCAGCCGATCTGGTAAAGCCTGCCTGCGGCCAGCCAGCTCCCATCTGGCACGGACCCCCCCAGGAAGGGATTTGTCCTCCTTGCCCACATGTTCCCCAGACCTTCATGAGTGCTTTGAAGCTGCTGCTGTCCCTAAAAGAGGTGGCCATGGCTTTTGCACATCCCTTGTGCTAAACAGACTTTTAGCAGCCATACAAGGAGCTGGTCCAAAAATGGACCAAATCGTCCAGACTTGCTTACCCCCAGCTCCTTGAATCATCTCCTGGCCCCTGGGAAGTGGGTGAGCTCGGCCCTGGGAGGACTCGGGGGCAAGCTGGAGGAGATGGAATGGTGGCCATCCCCAACATCTCCCTCCTTCCCTGCAGGCACAACCTGAGGTTTTGGAACGCCGCCTTCTTCGACGCCGTGCACTGCGAGCGCAGGAAGCGGTCCCCCACCACCAGGTAGGACACATTCCCGGGGGAAAAGGAGATACCACGTCCCCTCCAGCCCTCCCCCAGTGTTCACCCCCACTCCTGACAACCCTGAGCACTCCTGACCGTGGAGTTTTTGCCTCTGGTTGCTGGAGCCACTGGGCTGTGGGGTGGGCAGGGGAAATAATCCCTTTCCTTGTCTGGGTAGATCAGCATCCTCTTAACGATTTAAGAGCATGAAGGTGATGTGGACCTTCTTAAGGATTTGGGAGCGTGAAGGTTTTCGTGCTCGTTTTGTGTCATTTTTTGGAAGAACAGAGCCCTAAAGATGTGCTGAGACAACCCAGCTGGGGTCCAGGCTGTTGGTGCTTCGTTTGGGAGCAGATCTGGGAAAAGATGCTTGGTGCAGCCTTTCAAGGAGGGGCAGCAGATAGGGAGGGGATGCCCTGGGTGCTAGCCGTCCCCAAAAAGGCTGTGGAAGTGCTGCCAGTGCCAGCATGGAGACCGATGCCAGGCAGCCAACAAGAATGCGAGCTAGAGATGGCAGTGCTGTTGGCCCCCAAGGGCTTGGAAGATCGGGATAAATCCAGCAAAGGGAAGGGGCCACTTGTGTCGGAGGGTGTCTGTGCGCAGGGAGCACTGGGGTGCCTGGGTGTGGGGACCTCGTGGGGTGCGAGGGTGGGCGAGATGCTCACCGGGCTCATGCCCATCTCTGGCTCTGCTACAGCCCTGCCACCAGGGCTGGAGCGATTCACTCCTCTCTCCACCGCGGTGCCACCCCTCCGAAGCCGGATTGTGCCATTGCGTGTCCGGGCAGGTGCCTTGAGCTCCCAGGGTGAGGGTGGTTGAGCTGGGAGCGTTCCGGCAGACCCTTTTCCGAGCAGTGAGGGCACTTCTTGAAGCTGCCAGCCCTCCTGCACCCTCCCCAAAACCCCAGCTGAACCACGGCAGCCCCGGCTCACGCCGCAGGATGCTCTGCCAACCTCAGCTCACCCATCAACATCTGCTTTCTCCTTTTATTGCTTTCCTTTTTCCCAAGCAAGCCAGTGGGAATAATAATGTAACCGTAACTGCATTTGCTTTGATGAAGCCCCAAATTAGCAGCAGCAAATGTCTCACAAGGACATACGCCACCGGCAGCTGCCCTCTGCTCCCGGTGCCTTCCTCAATTAATCTGATGGCTGCGTCTGCCTCCGCTGCAGAAACGAGCCCGCCTAACCAACGAGCTTCGGGACCTGCAGCCTGGAGTGCTCCGAGTATCTCAGGGGGGGTTGGGAGGTGGTGGTGACCACCCCTTGGACCTCTGGAGAGGGTAACGGAGGCCATGGGGTGAACTGGGATGCTGCTTGCTAGACCGAGGATTGAAATCCCTGGCAGGAGGAGTGGGCTTGGTGAGGGCTGGTATGGCACGGGCTGGGTTTGGGATGCCAGGGACGACGCGTGGCCGTGGCAGGTGTCTGCAGGGTCTGCGGTGATGGGATTGTGGCAGTGCCCATCCCTGCGGGGTGCCAGGGCATCGCCGGGGCGGCCGGGCTGTGGCGTCTCAGGGCTGTGGCGAGAGCTGGGGTTTTTTATTCTCTCCTCTGGGTGGGAAGGGCAGGGGATGGGGCGGAAGGGAGCGGAACTAAACTCCTCTTTTTCTTTCTCTTTCCTTTCTCTGCCTCTAACAACCTTCCTTCTGTCTCTTCCTCTCTCCTTTCCCCTCCATAATCCCTCTGTCTTGCATGATCTTTCACCCACCACTTTTGTCGGCCCCGTTTCTGCTGCCGCTCCAGAGGGAACGCTGGGGAGGAAGAGGAGAAGAGGTGTGTCTGTCCCCGTACTTCGGTCCATTAGTGTCCAGAGGCTGGCACTCACTTCAGGTCCAAATCCTGCCCTGGGGAGGGGGTGGGAACGTGTTTCAGGGGGGCTCTGGAAGGCCCATCTCCACCAGGGAGGCACGGCCACCGAGGGTTGACTTCATGTGCATCACCCTCGCAAAAGGGCAAGCGAGGTTTAGATCGAATCCGCTTTAATGCGGCTTTTTAAAAAGAAACCTGACCAGTTTCAAGCTGGGATATTTTACTGGGGGAATCGAACGCTACTGGAGAAGCCAAGGATTTGTGCTGGGAATGATTCCCTGGGCAGGTTTTGGACATGAACTGAGTCTCTTCGCAGAGAAAGCATCCCCCTCTCCTGCCCTTCCCGCTTGCTCCCAGCTTCTACTGCCGCATAGATACGCCGAGGATCCTTTGCCAGCTGGAAAAGCTGGTCCTTTTATTTTTTTTTTTTTAATGGGCTCTCGTGCTGCCATCCCTAAACAAAAGGAAAACTGCAAACGGGGGCCGCGTGTCACGGCGAAAAACGTCCTGGTGAAGCTCGAAAGCAGCCGCATCCATCCGCGCTCCGAGCGGGAAGCGGGCAAGAGTCACGGCTCTTTTGCTGGAGCGTGGGATGTTTGATCTCGGGGCAAACCGCTCGAAGCGATGGCACGAGCAAGAGAGGGAAGGCTTTTTGAAGCTTGGCAGTCAATCTCCCGCGCGGCTCCGGCGTGCGCCGGCAAGGCAGCCGCATCCATCCGCGCTCCGAGCGGGAAGCGGGCAAGAGTCACGGCTCTTTTGCTGGAGCGTGGGATGTTTGATCTCGGGGCAAACCGCTCGAAGCGATGGCACGAGCAAGAGAGGGAAGGCTTTTTGAAGCTTGGCAGTCAATCTCCCGCGCGGCTCCGGCGTGCGCCGGCAAGCGGATAACTCCGCCGCCGCCGCTCCGGCGGAGCATCGCTCGGGGCCGCTGTGCGGGG